ACATGATATACAAAGTACAAAACCAGGCTCATTTATTCTTCTTTTCCAATAAACGAGTCTTCGCGGTAACGTCGTTCACTGTAATGTCGTTTTTTGTATTCGCGGTAATGTCGTTTTTTGTATTCGCGGTAATGTCGTTCGCGGTAATGTCGTTCGCGGTAACGTCGTTCGCGGTAATGTCGCTCGCGGTGATGTCGTTCGCGGTAATGTCGTTCGCGGTAATGTCGTGTCACGTAAAAGGATTTTTCCCCAATGGCCTATTTGGCTGACGTGAGATACGAAGGTTCCAAGTTTATAATAATAAATGTAAATGAACTGCTTATTGTCATTGTATGACGATAATAATATATATGAAGATGAAATTTGTTTCTGAGACATTCATAGATGAAACATTAAACTATTAAAAGCATCATGTTACTGTGTTCATCTGATGATAACTGTTATATAAAAGTAGCACCATGAAAACTTCAATACAACGAAACTCTTTTAGATATCTATCTCACATGCCTCCATACGCATTTTTCAATAATTCGCATCTACTATTTCGTTCGTATGCCTTTTCATTTGTGCTTTATCTTTCGGAACAATACCATACGTCTATATTCGTTGATTCATAATCAAATGAGTAGCCCTATATTTGTTCCTATGATAAAATATGCATGGTACGCCAGCGGTTATTCCAAAGAGAACCCTAGTCCATTTCAAAACGTCGAGGAAGTGTGCTTTAGATTTGATTGTGACAACTGTAGAGAACAATCATGTGGTCAATCGCCTTTCATCACGTGCAGTCGGTGTCGAAAAGACCGTTGTTTCGATCACTTTTTCGTCAGCTATCACATTCACTGAATTGTCATATTTAACAAGCTAATAATTCGTTTTCCAGTCGGTCTAATGATATAAGTGCATATTTCAGTTTTTCTATCCTTTAAACTATCAAATAAAAGAATTTTGGCAATACCTACATGGTTCAGGATGACTTATACGAAACTGTTTGAGATATTTCAATCTGCAGGTGTATTTCGAGAAATAAATTCTTACCTTCAAATATGTTAGTCTTGCAAATTCAACACATAAGGCAATTCATTTACATTTATGATTATAAACTTGGACCCTTCGTATCTCAGCCAAGTAGGCCCATGGGGAGAAATCCTTTTAGGGTTCTTCTAGTACTATCATGTCCTACTTATGGCCAAAATCTGAGCCTTAAAGCTTTTAATCAGTTGGTGGGGTTCCCTCGTCAGACTTTCAGGGAATGATTAGCAGAATTTTGCGAAATATAACAGAATTATCCAAGAATACTCTCTGAACTGTGACAGATTTCTTAGAATTTTGACGAAACCTGCAGAATTTGGCCAAATCCTATCACAATATTGCAAAATGTTTTCTAGTTTTTCAGTATAAAGACCCGAACGGATTTAGATAAATCTCAGTACTTAACAAAATTAATTTCCATTAATTTCTGAACGTAAGAAAACGTTTGCTAAAATTAATTCCAAATCCAAAATCAATCTGAACGATTTTCTGTACTCAAAATTAATGTAAATTAATTTCACGTTTTTCGAAATCAAAATAGGTACTTATTTCGATTTAGATACATTTTCAAGAATTTCTGATACTGCCAGTGGATTCCTCGTAAAAGGTTGCTTCGGGAAACTTACGACTTCAACGGATTCCACAGGACTCCGTGGGACTCTATAGTATTGGAGTCCGCTGTGCAAACTGCAAAACGGAGTTGCTCACTGCCACCAGAACAGTTAGAGGCAAAAATTTTAAAATGAAAACTAGAAGCGACTATATATAACGCAATATATGTACAATGAAAGATCAGAGAACAGTAATTTCAGATTAGAGAAGTCTGTTCATGATATGGTCTACCCATTAGAACTTTTAAATACTTTCGAAATAATGCAAACTAATTTTGAGATTCAAAGGAATTTGAACAAATTTAAGAGGAAAGTCGTTCAGATTAATTTTAGCAAACGTTTTCTTAAGTAATTTAAATGAATTAGTTATTACAAATTGATTTAAATTAATTTACTAACAGAAATTAATAGAAATTAATTTTGTTAAGTACTGAGATTTATCGAATCCGTCCCGTCCTTCATACTGAAAAAATTGAAAACTTATTCGTGTTATACGCCTAGTAGGTAATGGTAAAGTGAATCAGTCCTACGATTATCTAAAGTATTTATTCTGAAGTATCTGTGATAAAATTTGGGCTCGATCAGACCATTTTTACGATTGGTCGTAATGTGACTGTATTGAGGGGACTAGCGAAAGATGCATAGTGAGAAAAAATCATATTGTACACAGGGCTCTGTTTTTCAGGGCATTTACGACTATGCTTATAACTCAAAACAAACTCATCGAAAAATTCTGGAAAACATCTCATTTTGAAGAGCATACTTTCTTCTATCATGCTATATATAACAAAAAATTTTGAATATATAGGAAAGGAGAGAAAAATTTAAAAATTTGAATCTAAAAGATTGAGATTTTCTGTATTTTAAAGAAAAAATTTAAAAATTTCATAATTTTTCAAGAAAGGTCATAGAGAGCTGGGAGTAATCTCATTTTATAGCCCAGATCTTCCTCTAGATTCAAGGAAGAGAGTGCTCACACTTAACGTATTTCGTATTCCGCCAACTTTGCGAATTCAAATTACATTAATTAGAGATGACCCATTTTCATTTTTTGTACTAGTTTAAACTACACGAGTTGTACATGTTAGAGGTCCATTTTTTAGAAAAGGATCCCTTTTAGTTTTTGAGGTATATCGCTGTTTTTATCGTTGATTATGGTTTAGAACAGCAAGTTTTTGCAATTATAACACTAACAGGAATATTGTTTGAAATATAATTTATTAGAAATGTAATAACTATTTACGATGGAACCTTCCCAAGTACCGGACAAAAATTTCAGATCGAAAGTGGTTCATTCGAATTTTGTGAAAGTACTTTGCCAGTTCGGAGAATACGAAATAAGTTTATAGTGAGCACTCTCTTCCTTGAACATGTGAAAGATGAAATTTAATTTGCAGAATTTAATGCACCTTTAAACATTTCCTTTCTTATCCCCTTCATACTGTAAAGATTGAAGACTTACTCATGTTACAGACCTGTTGAGTAAAAGATAGAGAAAGACAACTTTGTTACTTTGGAAGCCTCTGATTTAGCTTTAAGGTGAATACAATTCGTTAAGCTTCCTTAAGCCCACGATACTCCGAAACACTCCTAGTACTCCGGCGCTCCAAGGAGTGCGCTTTCCCCCTTGTACATGGCCCAGTCGTCGTTTTTTTAGTTTCTTTATGCAACATGCCTATATTGATTTATTCGAAACGAATGGACTCTTTGTCTGTTCTTTTCTTCTCGAAACGAGATGAATGAAATTATACGGTACGATAGTTACATCTAATTCTTCAAAACAAAAGATTTCACTTATGCAATGATTAATCATAGAAAAAGCAGAAAATCCAGAATAACGACGAAAAATGTAAGGTTATTATAACCTCTAGCCATTGTACCTTTTCTTTGATTTAAGAAACAGTATATTTTATGATTATTTCGTTTTTCCTCAGAAAGGCAGAAACAGTGGTTAAAGGTAAGAGTGTCCATAGAAATATGTATACTGTTCTTTGTTTGTTTAGTGGGGGTGTACACAGTGAAAAGTATTTCGGCCTTTTCAACTTGATAAAACCGTATAAATATCTTTTTTTTCTTTTTTTTTTAAACGTGTTCTTGTTCATTAAAAAAAGCGAGGCTTCTTAACTGAGATCACTTTTTATAATTAAAGAAATAAAGCTGATCTCAGTTTGGAAATCGCATATTCTATCAATTTTGAAAAGTGATTTCAGTTTGGAAAACGATTTTTCTGTTAAGAAAAAAATGATCTGAGTTTGGAAAATGAGGTTTTAGTTCCTGTTTTAATAAAATATGGATTCGTAAACTGTATATAATATAAATTGTATATACTAGATAGAGAGAAGTGAAGGCTTTGTAGCTTGTAGCTTCCACTTTATTAAAATATGGGTCTCTAAACTGTATAAAATATAAATTGTATATAATACGTAGAAGTGAAGTGAAAGTCTAAAACATTGTATTCAAATGTCTACGTTAAACAAAAGTTTCTCTTACATTAAAACCCAAAGGGGTAATGATGGTATTTTATACAAAAGTTATCTTTATATTCTAAGACGTTCAAATAAAAATAATACAGAAAAATGGGTATGTACAGTTCATTCATGTTCTTGTTCAATAACAATTAAAGATGGTGCTATTATCGGAAGTAGTGGTATTGATAACGAAGGGGCGCATTATCCACAGCACGAAGCTAAGTTACCAACAAATGTTTATGAATGTATTGGAGCTATTTAAGGACAAATTGTGGAAAAGTCAACAACATCGGTAACACAAGTTTACAATGAGCAAGTAAAGAAATTTCGAAGAGAAAATGGTTCAGCTGCTACAATACCTATATTTGATACGATTAAATCCTCGCTTTACACAACACGAGCCATGATACATCCTAAACTGCCCAAATCATTGTCGTCCCTAATAATACCACCTCACATGACGCGTACTTCTCTAGAAGAAAACTTCTTATTTTGTAACAATCCAGCCCCTTATTCAGTTTTGGGTTTTTCATCACCAACAGCATTACAAATTCTCAGTGATAATCCACATTGGAATGCAGATGGTACATTTAGAACGTCACCAAAACTATTTTATCAAAGCTACAGTATTCATACATGGGATGAATTCAGCATGAAGTCAGTTGTTTATGCTGAATTACCTAATAAAGAAGAGGTGTCGTATCACGTACTATTGAATGCACTAACAACATATGCTCAACAAAATAATATTTCATTGAAGCCACAATCGGTATTAATTGACTTCGAAATAGCTGCATTGAACTCATTTTCCAAAACGTTTCCAACAGCTGTTATTAAAGGTTGCCAGTTTCATTTTGCTCAAAATATATGGAAAAAAGTTAAAAAGTATAATTTAGTACAACTGGCCAAAGAAGAAGAAACACGACGAGAATTAGCAAATATTCTTGCATTACCACTGTTACCTCCTAGTAGAATTGATGAAGCATTTTCCAATATAGTCGAAAATATTAGCAATATTAGTCCAAGATTTTTGAAATTAACAGATTACATTTTAAAAACATATGTTGAAAATCCACGATTTGAAGTAGATTTTTGGAATCATTTTGATTTGACTGGTGTGAGACCACGTACGAATAATCATGTAGAAGGGTATCACGCTCAGTTAAATTCTCAATGTAAAACACATCCTAATCTATGGGCGTGGATAAATTATATTAAGGGGTCAAAAGAGTCTGTAATGGTAAGGTATGAACAAGAACAACGTCAACAAAGAAGTACACGTCCCAGAAAGGCAAGATCAATACATATTGATGCTGTATTGAATGCTGCTAAACAAAATTATATGTGTGGTCATATAGATTTAGAAGATTTACAGAAATTGTTAAGAGCATTAAGTCATCGATACACCAAAGTGTGTGAGAATTCAAAAGACGACGATGAATATGAACCAAAATAATGAGGATGACAAAGTTAATTTTTTTTGTATTTTCTTTTTGATAAAAATAGTTTAGAGGCCCATATTTTAATAAAGTGGAAGCTACAAGCTACAAAGCCTTCACTTCTCTCTATCTAGTATATACAATTTATATTATATACAGTTTACGAATCCATATTTTATTAAAACAGGAACTAAAACCTCATTTTCCAAACTCAGATCATTTTTTTCTTAACAGAAAAATCGTTTTCCAAACTGAAATCACTTTTCAAAATTGATAGAATATGCAATTTCCAAACTGAGATCAGCTTTATTTCTTCAATTATAAAAAGTGATCTCAATTAAGAATGAGCCAAAAATAGTTGTGTTTAACTTCGACAAACAAACGCAGCTATGCTTGCAGACAAGTCTATGTTACATAGTGCATAAAACGCTCAATCGAAAACCTAGGAAAATTACATTTATGTTTATTTTTTTAAAAATTTTAGTTTAGAATACTATAATGGAATATTCTTCCGCTTGTATTCTGATAGAATAAAGCTTATATAAAAGAAAATAAATATCTATACTGTGCTTTGTGAATGAACGCTGATTTTCTGGAATTTGATATTGATCAAGTAAGTTTTAGAATCCGTCGTCATGTACTTTAAATGTGCGTTCACACAACACTTCCGAAAGCGAAAAAAATTACAAAATGCCGAAACTTTTAACTTGTTTTAAGTTAGTTTGATTCAGCTTCTTTCTTCATAGGAAATGAAAAACTCAATATGGTATTGGAAATCAAATCAATATCCATGGTCAAATGGAGAACTACACGAGAAAGAAGAATGGAAACCTTATTCGGATATTGAAAATCAAATTATAGAAGAAGCTTTTGTCAACAATGAATCTGAAGTGGAACTCGATAATTACATGATTAATTTACAACAGAAAATTCAATTAAACAAAAATGACAAAACTAAACAACGACAAATAAAACGTTCTTTAAATAATAATTGTACAATACAGTGTCTGAGAGATGAAAGATTTTCGGTGCCACATCAATTATGTGAACCATTCAAAGAGTATATTGGTTATTCCAAATTTTTTCATGAATGGAACAACAAATATGTAAATGAGTCTGGTGGTGATCTTTTTGAATCAGCTGCACAAGGCATAGTCATCGAAGGTGGAAAAGTTGGTAAAAAAGTAGAAGCACAATGGATTGCTAAACAGCTGGTAGCTCTTAAAGAATGCCACGTTAAGAAAGTCACCGAAGGACTTATTTCACTATATACACTAGAAACGTTTCTTTATAAATTGATCAATAAAACATTACGAGATGAAGATTTGGATAAATTAGACACGTTAGGACCGTTCTGTGCTTTATTGGCCTATTATCTTATGTACTTATCATTACAACACGATCCCAATCTAGTTTACCATGGATTAGTATATCGCGGAGTAACTTTGGATCGTGGACAAATTGAGCAATATGAAAGAGCTTTAGGAACGATAAAAAAGTGGACTTCATTTAATTCAGCGAGTAAAAATCGTTCACTTGCACAAATATATGGTAATACACTGATTATTATCCAAATTCAAAGGCCTTACTCAGTTTATGCAACAGAAATAGCGTCATATTCATATTTTCCGATAGAAGAAGAAGTACTGATTTTGCCAGGAGTAAGATTTCTAATAGAACAAGTAGAATGTATTAATGGTAAATACAATATACATCTGATTATTCAGTGAATTTATTACTAATGTGTACGATTTTTATGAAATACGTTAATCTGATCCTTTTCTCTTTTCATTTTCTCGTTCTTTATACCACATATCACTTATGTAAAAACTTCGAGAAAATTTCAGAAATATATCGGTATCGAGACACTTAAAGAAATTGATTTTTTTCTAAATGAACACTTAGTCGAACGAGTTTCACCTACCAGAGAACACAAAAAGCATTGAATTGCATCTGACCAAAACTGATACGAGATCTCATGCTCAGACCATTTCCAACACGTCGAGTCATTTAATCACGTGTGTTTTATTTTATTGGTGCATACGGTTTAACTAATGGGTTTATCGTTGGCTCCATATCCACAAGGCGCAACGAATCGCCTATTTTGATTGAAACCAAGTGGCAGAAAGAATCTGAAGTTTCTAAATGTGGATAATTTGTTATATAAAGTACCAAGAACATCTGAAAATTTACCTTTTTTGCGTTTTTTATCCCATAATCCAGAACCGGCAACTCTGTGTGAATTTCTGTCCTAGCTAAACACACAAAAAAAGTGGGTTTCGCAATGTTTTAATTTCCTCAGCTTTTTGGCAATTTTTGGATGACGCACCGCTTAAGGTTGGTCGATTGTGTTCTGTTGCGACTATTATTTGTATGGATGAAAATCATTAAAAGTTAGTTTTAAAATAATCGCCATCCTTTTCTGAATGTGGTGATGTGTTGCTGTTTGTTTTGTATGACTTGAAAAACGGATTGTAACTTAACTGTTTTTTTAGAAGTTGTTCTTTAAATTTTTTAAGTAGCTTTTAGCTCTTTTATTTCCCGTGAATTGTTTCTCAAAAGTAACAAGAAAACGAAAGAGAGTGAAAAATAGCTCAATAGTTTAATATTTGTACCTAATTTATAGTACTTAGTGGCGGCAAAAGCAAAAGAAGAGCAAATTCCTTTTTCTATGTTTTGCCTTTGGAAACGTTATTCCTTTGACTGAAAGTCCATATGTATTCGATCTTTTCCAACTCATAGAAATACCCCTTATTTACAGGTAAAACTTAAGTATCAAGCAGTGGCGGATCTAGCACTATGGCTGTCCGGCGACCGCCGTCCCCTCGTAAATGGAATTCTAATGCAACTGCACTACCAGACTTCCTTAGAAAAAATATTCATACTACCTCGGACGACTTCGTTTAGAAATCGCCACCCCGTCAGTAGAATCCTGGATCCGCCCATTAGCGCAAAATCGACTTTTTATACGGGGAACAGAATCGGTCCAAATTTTTTTTCTGAAGAGCTTATTATCTGAATCGACAGGCAGCAAAGTATCTCTTGATTCAAATCACTTTTCA